TTCTTTTTTTTGTCCCTTCAGAACAGTGACCAATTTTAAGATAGCGCAAAAATTACAGTTCTGTCAGACATTTTCGCATTAGACGTTTTTCGAGTTACAAATTACCGCTGATCAGCTCAATTTGATAAATTACCGCTGTGTTGTTTGAAGTAAAAAATGCACATGTTATTAATGCAGATTTTGAACAATACAAAAGTTTAGAAATTCCATGGACTTTCACTGCTTCATGGAAAACAAAAGTATATTCTACAAAAAATCGTGGCCAACCCTGAGCAGCAGAGAATTCGAATCTGGGGTATTCGGGATCTTGATCTCAATCTTGTTTGCCTCCTTGCCAGTTGGGATTCTTAAACCACTTAATGTTTCTTTGGTTATTTCTTCATTTCTGTTTATTAATTCGTAAAATACACTGTAAACAAGCAGTTAGCTAAGTGTACTTTCTGCGCCTTTAATTTCTTTTTTGAATCTTATGATTTCTCTACGAGTCCCCCTCACTAGCGGACGACCTGCCATCAAACATTTATTTCACATGTGAAATAAAACTCTAAAGAGACAGAAAGCTATTTCAAAAATTATTGTCGGAGTCAAAATAGAATGAGCTTTACGAAAGGAGAATCCACTGCATGGAAGGACAACTTTGTGAATCGGAGTTATTTCTTCGTAATATGACTAAAACTTACATTTTGCGAACAAGGCTTTTTTTATTATTCTCTAAAGAACGACTGAGCAGTATCTCAGAATAAGGAGAAGCAGCGGGAATGATTGGCGTCGTCGAAAACAATTAAAAAGAGTAATTTATAAATATTCATCGCTGAACGTGTTGAACGTCATTAGGGATCTTAAGCTTCAGGACGGCAACGTCGACGAGGTCGGCAAACATACAAAAGCACTAATTTCGCTATTCAATAGATACTCGTTGGAATGTACGAAATACTGTGCATCATTGCCGTCTTATGCTGAAAGTAAGACGTGAAATGTCCTATTTTTACGTACTAAAGAGAACGGCTACGCCAAAAGCTTATCTTTGCAGATCGTTATAAGTAAAGCGCTCCCAAAAGACGAAATTTCACGCTAAAACGGGGATGCTTATTGAGTAAAATACTAGGTAAACACGAAATAATAATACAAYAGAAGGTGAGAATATGTGGATCGCATGGCACTAATGAAATACATGAAGATATAGAAATATAGATAAGCTATAGTGCTTGGGAACGAGGTTATTCCGGGCGAAAGCCCTTGGAATCAAATTCGAAAAAATTAATTTCCGACCTCGCTGGGAATAGAAGCAATAGAAGGTTGAAGCGCCTCAATTTCGCCGACGTTGTCGCCCACGTTGCCGTCCTGCAGCTTAAGGTCCCTATTAACTAATAATGTAAGTATTACCATTAGGAAAAAGTGTATACTTACGTCATAAGAATGACAAATGCCACAAAGTACAAAGCCATGATGGTTTTTCTTGATGGCGTTACTAAAGATAAGAAATTAAAAATACGAAATATAAATATTGGTCAAGTGAGTAACTATAAGTTCGATTCGCTTTTGATTTCTCAGTTGCGATAGCACGAGTTGAAAATCACCGCATTGCGATGAAACGTTAATCTGGAACTTCTAATCTGGAGTTACGATGATTACGGGTCTGGAAGATCAAAGAAATGCACATATTTTCCTCAAATCAAACATTTCAGTGTTTTATATGTTTGTACATTTGATTTATGCATGTCTTAAGTACGGTGGAAAAATAGTTGTGATGAAATACTCTTTTGAAAGTTTGACCACTATGTTGAATGACAGTAGTTTTCATTTAGAACGTTTTCGCCCTACATTTACACTAAATATATTGCTAACTTTGTTCGCCCATAGCTCGAAAAGCTCTGATTCTCCAATTTCTTACTCAGACTTGTATTATTAATAGCTCTACATGGTCATCAGTAAGGATCGTCTGTCGATTGACACCGAAAAGTATTTTGAAACCAGAAATTTACACGTGGCTGCAAACGAAGAGTTCATCTATAACAGTATGACTTGACGATGAAAGATTTGCTACAGCAACAAATTGAATACGTTATACTAAGTGACTAGGACGATAAAGAAAAAGAAAATCAGAGGCTCAAAGAAAAAAGATACTTAGCAAAAACTTACCAGATTTTTGTTTCCACTACACGACGAAAAACTAATTCTGAATAGCAATTTACGAGCTATATATACTGACACTATACGAACAAAATAACTTAATGAACAATGAAAACGTACTTAACTATACAGAACTTGACAATAAATGAAGCACAAATGCACGCAAAAATGAGCAACACGATTCTTAACAATAAACATATTTCAACTTAGTTCTATGAATATTTAAATCTAAATTTACGAGCTATATATACTGACGCTATACGAACAAAATAACTTAATGAACAAATGAAAACATAGCTTACTTAAATATAGAGAACTGGACAATAAACGAAGAAGAAATGCACGCAAAAATGTGCAACACGATAAACATACTTGAATTTTGCTCTATAAATATTAAAATATAAATTTAAATGATAATAATCTTAATATTTCATTAGCAAATTCTCACATGCGCGCATATTTGTGATCTCTCTCTCTCTCTCTCTTTACAGCTGTCTTGTGTCCGACCTACATAGCGACAGCACAAAATTACGCCCCTGTAGTCTGTTGCGCAGAGCAGCCTCACTGCCTCCACAAACGTAGTGGGTCATCCTTTCATCAAAACTATTTTTGAATGCTTTCATGAATTTTCCGAATTTTAATTAAGCTGAAACTGGAATACCCGTTAAAGGTGTAATAATCATTGGTTAAAGTTTTTCCTGATATTCGGATGGGAAGTATTACATTTTTTAGGATGTTTATTAAAGTCTGTGACGTCACACACTCAATACTAAACATTAGACTGCTACAGTATTGTAGATGACATTCTGGTGGCTTATATAGACTTGCCCAAGTCGACCTCTCTTGTCTCCCGAGGGTTTTTTTATTCGAGCGAAGCAAGAATTTGGCGAGCGTATCGAGCGAGCGATGAAGTTAAGATACACAAAGGGTGGCGGACTTTGCGAAAGTCTATTGCTTATCCAGCTCGTATATGTGAAATACACCAAAGTCCCCAAAGATCCCATCTGCTTGTGTGGGATGCGAGTCTTGCATGCACCCAGTAGCAGAGGTACTACAATGTTTCTGATCAACACAGGTGGTTGGTAAGGCGTATCCAGCAGCGCCAGAGAAGCGATATTATTTCTTGGTAAGATCGTTCACATTTGAGAATACGGTTTGAGGAAAATTCTTTAGCTAGGTCATCTTGGGCGAATACGGTATAGCTTTTGCATTTTATTTGAAATTGAAAAATACAATTGTGAAAAAGTAGTCATGTGAAGGTCATATGCTTCAACAAGACTTTATTTCGCGTCGTTTGTGTCGTATTCTTCCGTGTTTGCGTTTCATTGCGCGCGGTTTCGAACGCGGCCTATTTCCCATGCCGTCTTATTCATCGGGACATTTCCCTTGAATCATGTTTATTCACTGTCCTACTGGATAGTTAAACAAATGAATTGGCTTTTAGAGCTAGCGTCTACTCAGGATAAGCCTCGTAATATAGAATCGATATTGAGTTAGGTGTCATAGGAAAATTAATTCTGCTCTCGACTCAATGTTTTTAAAATTTATCTTTATTTGCATGAAGTTAATAATTGAATAGCAAAATATTTTCATATGATTTGAGTGATACTTCTTAGTTATATCAAGGTTTTTACAGCTATTTCAAAAAAGGTTGAATACTGAATGCTGCATACTGAATAGTGCATTTCAAGACCGAAGTGTATTGTGGGTCATAGTGACATTATCTAAAGTAGGATTGATAATCATTATTTATTCTATTTTTAGCGTATCCCGTCTGAAACCATATACTAACTACACATATAGAGTTAATTGCTTTATATTTACTTTTCATTTCAAATAAAATAATAAATATTTCACTTTCCTCGTGGCTTCAGCTATTAATCATTTCCTGATCCTTCAACTTCATAGAACTTTTTCCCAAAGATTATCCGTTAATCTACCAAATGGCGTTGCATTGATAATGTCATTTATTCTCAGAAGGTGGTTAAACAAATAAGCCTTTTCATAGTTTAAGAATCGATTCCACTGCGCATACGATTTTATCCCGAATTTCTCTCCTTCTTTTGTTTAATTAAAAACAAAAGAAGGTTTAGACAAAAAATGGTGAGAAATTCGGGATAAAATCGCATGCGCAGTGGAATCGATTCTTAAACTATGAAAAGGCTTATTGCAATTAAAGTTATTCCGAAAAATTCCGATCATACGATGTAGCACACTCTACCATTACCTTAGACGCACTATACTATAACTGGCTCAGTATATAACACAAAAGCTTAATAATAGGCGAGCCCTTAAGTAGCAGCACCTGCCTGGTCCTATAACGTGGCTTAACTTTTGACTCTAACTTGAACGTAAAAGAATAGGACAACTAGTACTCGGGATACAAAAATTAATGAGAAATCATAAAGACCACAAATGTCAGAAAAACGCGTAGAATAGACAACCTTGGCAGCTATGACAAAAGCAAGAATTTGGACTGCTTTAAATATGGTCTAAGCTGATTTACATGAGAAAAAATTATGTTTCCCATGGGGCAAAGACTCAATTGTTGTGCATCATGCCATGCCTGCCATCGCTTGACAGCTAGTGCTACAGAGAAAAGCTTTATGATTGAATTTAAAAAAAACTTTGAATATTTAAAAATAATTTTGAAAATGTCATATGTGAGTAAAGTTGATACTTGGTTCCCTCCTGTGCTTCTAGGGTTTTGTCTCTAGGTTCTACAGTTTTCCTCCTTCAACAAAAATCAACTTCAAATTCCAATTGCATGAAGTGGAAGAAGAGCCACTCCTGCTAGCTGTAGAAACAACTGTTATTTTAATTAAAATAATATAGTTTAATTAAAATAAAATACCATTAAAACTCTCAAATTCGTATTTTTCACATTCATTTATTAGACTTCAAAACAAAGATACACATGGTCTATCGACTCTAAAGAATTAATCCGAGACAAAACCTTTCTTTCTAGTCTAGTTGGTATACAAAGTTCGAACCTGCAGCACCAACACCGACGTAGCATTCCGAACCCTGTGTCCCATGTTTGTCATACTGTACGCTGGCGTCAGGGCCACTCCAACATTCACCGTAGAACTGGATGCCAAAGTATTTGTATCTGCAGTTGAGAAAAATAAATAGATAGAATAACATTAAAGAAAACACAAGCAAACAAGAGCATGTTGAGATAGACACCTAAAATACAGCTTTTAACAGACATTTTTGGTTTATAATTAGGCATAATGTTTTCCCATTTCAGACTATGTATAATTTCCTTGATAATAAGATTCTTTGTTTGAATTGTATCCATATTCATGTATCTTCGAGCTGTGAGTTAGCCGTGCCCCCTGACTCAAAGATAGCCTAAGGTAGTGTTTCAGGTTTCGGACTGTAAGTTAGCCTTGCCTTGACTTTATTCACACCAGACGCTGTCCTAGGGTACAGATAACGTTGAATTCGAACATACCGGTTGAAATTGAAATTAGATAAACGTTGGATTACATATATGGTTGGTACACATCTCAAAATTGTCTGGATGATTAGAGAGACATTCTCCAAAGCCTTAACAACATTGCTTGCACACATGACTTATCTGTTATCGTAGTGCTAAGTTAGTAAGGGGGCCTTCATTTGTTAGCAAATGGGGGATGGGGGGAAAGGGGGGAGAGNGGGGGGGGTCAAAACTGTAGGGGGGACGTTTTTTCCAGAAAGTGGTTTGGGGGGCCATCACATATTGAGAAGCTAAGAGAACTATTGCAGGATGATGAAAGGGGGATTATGCAATTGTTGTCTCTATCATGGAGGGGGTTTGGGTGATGTTTGTAAAGCTTTCAGTGTGATTTTGCCTACCCCCATGTGCTAATAAATTAAAACCCCTTAGGTTAGTTAGATGGTTTGTGATACATACCCCAAAGCTTGAACAGCATTGGCACACTTGTCTATAACAGAGGTTTTAATGTCATTCCAATCTATTCCTGGTCTGAGGTTCGCAACAAGTGTAGGGAATGGTCGGTCATCTCCTCCATGATCTTTGTAGCATCCTACACTACTATAATCAGCTAAGCAAAAAACCATGAAAATTAGGGTTAGAAAGTAAAAACATTTGAAAGAAAGTTTAAAGTTGTAAGTCGTTTTATCTTACAAAAAAATCATTTGTCTTTTATATTATTCATAAGTTATGAAAAAAAAAGGCTAAAATCTTTCTTCTTAGTCTTAAAACGCAAACGTTTTAAATGCTATTAGCATTTTTATTTATTGAATAAATGAAATAATGCTTATAAATATCAGTCATACGACGCAAGACGAATGCAAGCAATCGTAAACGATGCCCATGGTTTATCGACAATTTTATTAACGGATTGTTAAACGTACCTTGTCCGGGTTCTAAACAGATGCAAAAGAAAGAAAAGAAAGTAACGATGAATGAAAAGTAAAAATAAAATAAAAAAAGAATAAATAAAATAAGAAAAGTTAGCATTGCGTCATATCCAGTAAAGAATAAAGCAACACAATATAATAGGACGGTTGCATGATGTCGTCACTTAACTCCCACTACTATACTGCTTCGCGAATTTTCTTTCTTATTTAAATTTGTATTCCCTCATGAGAATAGTAAGACAATTGATGTTAATTAACTGAACAAAAGCAAGTGTGCGAGGGAGTCTGGTAGAAGAGGTCAAAGACGCCATCATGCAAACGTCCAATTGAAATAAGATCGATAAAGCAACATTAATAATTTAATATACAAAGTGCTTACTCTCTGTTGGTTTGCTTGGTTCTAAAAGAAAAAGAGGCAAAATAAGGGTTGATATTATGTTCAAAACAGTCAGACAGTCAGACAGAGTGAACAGAGTTACAATTTGAGAAAGAGGATTTTAGTACAACTTTCATGAAATCGCCGACTGATTTTATAGTATAAGTCAAARCTTTTTTTGTAACCACTATCGTAAGACACAGCTCTACTATTCTGAAAAATCCTTTGAACTGCTATTTAAAATGTTTTACAGTTAGCTGTATTGGGAATATTACCTATGATCTTCTGATGATAGTGGTCTTTCCATGACCACATGATAGTAGCCATGTTTGATGGCGAGAACAATACGATCGAAGACACAATTGAATTTTGCAATCTAGTTAAGGGCTGCCGACATGGGAATCCTCAATAGCATTATAATATAAAATCCTGCTACGGTATTGAAATATGGAGTTCTATTGATTTTAACAATCATGGAACACTATACCGTATTTAATTTTAAAAGCTCTCGTAAGAGAACGACTATCCTCGATATGACCCTTCACACTTAATGTGACATCTTAAAAGGTAACCTTAACTTTGTCTGTGCATCGTGGCAGCAACGGCGGTGACCATGCAATATTATAGATACATGCTTTCTCCTATCATTGCAAGAAATTAGCCGTTGCTGCACAGATACGGTTAACTTTCAAGATGGCGCATGGAACTGTGAAGGGGACTAATAACAATAACAATAAAAATAA